CGGTGATAAGCTCTGGCCCCCCTGAAAGGACGGCCACACCTGCAACCACATCAATGGCAAGTGCTCCCATTGCAACCCAGGCTGGATTGGAGACCGGTGAGTGCGGGTGGGTGCAGGATTGGGCCCCAGCAGGGCGATGTCCGGCCTCCCTGCTGCTCCCTGCCTGGGGACCAGGGGTGGCTGTGGGGTTCTGCAGCCGGGAGGGGAGGGCAGGGCTGGGCTGAGCCTGCTGGCGTGGCCGTGGGACCAGAGGGAGCCTGCGAGACCCCTGCCCCATGCCCCCAGGTAACGTTGGATGCTCGCGGTAGGGCTCAGCTGTAAAGCTGGGATGCTTTCCCGCAGGCTCTTGTGCCCAGGATTGGGTCTGGGGCTTTGCAGCACCTAAGTGGGGCTGACAATGCACAGCCCCATCTCCCCACCTGCAGGCTGGAGGGCTGGGGGGATGCCAGAGGTCCCCAGGAGCTGTGGGTGCTCCAGCCGCCTGCCCTCATCCCTCCCCAGGTGCGAAACCAAGTGCCGGAACGGGACGTACGGGGAGAACTGCGCCTTCGTCTGCAGCGACTGCGTCAATGGCCAGTGCCACTTCGAGACCGGCCGGGGCCTCTGCCTGGAGACCGGCCGGTGCCTCTGCCACCCCGGCTCCCACGGCACCTAGTAAGTGAGCCATGCTTTGGGGTGCACCCCAGGGCACAGGTGGTGCTCGGGCACCTCCTGCCCCCTTGGGTCCTACGTGGTTCCCAGCTGAGAGGTTTCCTGTGGCGGAAGCGCTCGGAGGCAATAATTCAGATGACTTTTGGAGTGGAGGGTAAAGGATACACTCACAGAGCCGTTAGCAGCAAGGTAATGCTGCGAGAGAGGGATTTTGCTTTAGGAAACAGCTATTTGGCAAAAACAAATGCCATCGATAAAACGGTGGTTTGGGGTTTTTTTGGTTTTTTGTTTTTTTCGTTTTTTTAAGTCCAGGGTGGAATTTCTAGCTGAAAAGAGAGAGAAAACCACATCCCAGAATAGCAAATAGCCTCACGGGCATGGCATCCGCGGGGTGCTCCTGCTGCGAGCTGCAGCTCCAGCTGGGGTCTTCCTCACCCCCGGGAAGAGCCCCCCGGTCCTTCCCCTTTCCCCTGCCCAAGGAAGGGGCACAAGGGATGTCAGAGTCCTGCTCACATCCCCTGGTGTTTTTTCCAGTGTGGGACTGAAGTGCTGTTTGAAAAGGCGAGGAAAGCATTTTCCACCCGATCGGGGCATGCAAACCAGTTCCCCCCAGGTCCTGCCAGGTGTTGCTCAGATTTTCCCGGGAATTAACCGCAAGGCTGGCGGTGGCAGCAGAGATTCGGGACCAGCATTCCACCCATGCTGGCATTTCTCTCGGGGCTTAGAAACAGGGAGCATTTGGATTTCAGGTGGGGTTTTTTGGGGCTTCGCCAACCGGTCGTGCTGCCGGCAGAGCTGCAGAGGGTGAGCAGGGAAGCAGCCTGGCTGGGCACCGGTGCCAGCTCAGATGCCCGTCCTGGGCATCGTTGCCACCTGTGGTAGCAAAGCCTGAGGAAAGAGGGTTCTGGTGCTTACCAGGGGTGTGTGGCAGTGATTTCGGCACAGCACCGGAGAGCAGCGCATGAATTAAATTGTTCTGAGGCCCTGGCACAGCGCTGGGGATGTGGGGACTGGGGATGCTCAGGATGCAGCCCCAGCCCCAGCAGCATCCCAGAGCTCTAACCACGGGCTGAGCTGTGCTCTATGGGTGCACACCGGGCAGGCTTGGGGACTTTCTTGGCACTCAGGCAGATCCCTGTGACTATGTGCAAACTAGTGTTTTTGTCAGCAGTGCATAATTTTGCTAAAAAGGGGATGATTTCTGGAAGGAAGGCAGAAGGGATGTCCTCACCCTGCAGGGGTGTCCTCTCAGTTCTGCGTCGGGAGGATGCTAAAGGAAAGGCTGCTATACTGCTTGGTGGATGCTATGAACATTTTATCTCCTCTGCAGCGTTCCCAGAGATGTCTGGACCCTCTTGAGAAAAAATAGCCCCCCTCTGCTCTCCCAAAATCTCAGTCTGCGGCAGAAATGTGGGTCCAAGTGGTAGGATGAGGGGTTTTGGGTTGCCAGCGAAATATCCCAGCTCCCATCCTGTAACATTTGCTGCCCTGGCACAGCTGCTCAGAGCGGCCGCAGGGGCTCAGTGCCCGTCCCAGCGGGCACGTGGCACCTGGCAGGCACGAGGCTCAGCCGGGGCGGCACTTTGCAAGTTGGTGGAGCGTGAAATGGGCTGAGCCACCTCCAGGCATGGTGCCGAGGGCTGGGGGGCAGCTGTGTTCCCCGGGGAGCAGGTTTGGGCCGGGGCCCGCTGGCTCCTTATGGCTGCAGCAGCTCCAGAGGGGATCCTGCCGCCGGTGAGCAGCTGATGGAGGGTTTGGTGCCCAGCAGCACTGCCGGCATACCCCGAATCCACCTGGGTCCGGCACCGCGGTGCCTGTCCCACCGCCGGGGTGGCAGGTTGGGTCGGTCCCGCTGACACCAAGAGCCCTGGTTGCTTTCGCGTGTGCCTGTCACATGTTTTCTGTGCTCAAGCCCTTGATGCTCGCGGGTCAGTGCCCATTCGTGCGTGTCCCCATCGCCTCAGTGATGCTGTCAGGGAGGTCATTTTACCGGTGGTGGAGATTTGATGCTGGGCTTATCCAAACCGGGAGGATCCACCTTGACAGAGGGGATGCCTCAGGGCTGCTCAGTTGTTTTTTCTTCTTGGAGACAAAAAACATAAAAATAAAATCAGTCTGGGCACCTTCCCAGCTTGTGGCTGCTGTGGCTCTGCCCAGCTCCGCATGGGGGAGTCCGGCGGTGCCACAGCCACGTCACCACTGAGCTGGAAACCCTGCGCGTGATGCCGGGTTGTCTTTAGATGCGACTGCTGGGTTACACCCTTTCGTAATTGCTGTACCTAATTGTGAAGCCCCCCCGCAGGGAGCAGCAAGAGCATCTGAGCTCCAGCCGGGCCAAATCCCCCGAGCAATGGGTGACGCTGCTGGGCAGGCAATGGGCTCCTGCTCCCTGGGGGTTACAGGGTCCCCGGGGTGTGGGGGGGGCTGTGTTGGAGCAGCCTGGAGAAGTGGCCTGTGCTTTTCCCTGGAGCACGGAGGGGTTGGGAGGAGGGGTGACAAGGGCTCTCAACCGGCCCCTT